GAACATTAAATTCAACAGTTTTTAAATTGGTCACGCGCTTGGTGTTCCGCTGCATCAAGTGAAGAGCAGAAGGCGGCAAACCACGTCGAGTAGATAATGGTTGAAATCGAACTCGACGGGCCGACAACGAGATCTTGACCAGTACGCACTAAGTATTCGATGCACACAAAAACGACCAATACACTATCATAAACAAACAGCTGTCAAGAAACTCCCGTACTTTTCAACCTCTCGAGCTGAGTGGCTAATCAAAATAAACTTGAATTCATTCGTGCTGTTTGACGGGTTGAGGTAGTCGGCTTGAGCTGCAAAAGCATTTGGGTGATTATTTTCATTTCATCAAATCACTTTGCTAAGATCCGTCGGGTTTTGCTGATCTGCGAATGATGGCACTCTTCCGCCCACCACTTTGTCGGATACACTGACTGGACTGGTAGTATACACATTTCCATACGGGTGGTATCTATAACGATCTGAGCCGACAATATCAAGTGTTTATAGGCGAGGGAGTGGTGAAGAATAACATTTTCGAAGCGTTTATGCGTGTTACATTATTTGGATAGCGAGTGGATGGCGATCTGTCTCGTGCACTTGATCGACGAGGCCGTTAGTAAGAGTGTTGATTTTGGATTGAAATTAGATCAGAGAATAGGACTCTAAGCGGACGGTTAAGAAACCTCGTCAGAGATGCCGTAAATGAATGTTATTTTCTTTCATTAAATCAAAGACTTCAAGAACACAAAATATGTCCAATAGTTCCTATAACTCTCAATGCGACTACTGAACAAAGGCTATCAATACATATTCAACAGGCTGGGAAGTTCGACAAAAGCCTTTCAGCATCAGACTGCATAGATTTGCATCTGCATTCAGGCATATTTCTCCAGCGATCTGTGATGCGTTCTCATCCCGATGGAGCTATTTACAGTAATGTACAAAGGCATGTACATCTGGGAGGGGAAACTTTAATGGATCAAAAATAAATTACTCACAGTGGAATCAGTCTATATGAATGTATATCCCTTGCAGCATTGCAAATTTTTATCAAGGTTTTAAAGTATTTGAATGTTATTTGAACACGTGACCTTTAGCGTGAGAAGTATTGATAAAAACCACTTCTACTACGGGTCCATCCCCCAATATATACATGAAATATTAAAGGTGCTCAATATGTTTAGCAGAACCAAACTTGTTGCTGACTTCCATTCATGTTTAGCGAATTTCATTTCGTAGAATAGGTTTTATTTTTATATATAAATCACAGTTCATATTTGCCACATCGTTTACCAAACGAAGCCTGGCATTACTCGTATGCTCGTATAAATTGCGCTGTACGTCATTCTGGTTTCGAACACTCAAAACAAATGGCAAGAACATCAAATCTTCCCCTTTATGCTATAACTAGCTAAGTTGAAATTTGGAGTTTTTAGGAAAACACGTTTTATAATTCGAGCTCAAGACGATGGCATAACGTTTAAAAAATGCTTGAAAAACGCAATTTCTCGCTGCATTGAATGTGGGCCTCTTAGTGGAATACCTCTGTAAAGAGAGAGATAAGGATTAGTAATTTCCATTTAATAACACTACCTTATTTGTTTATCATTGACAGATACGCGTATTTCGTCTACAATGTGCAGACTTATTCAGTGTATTGTACTAATGTTCGAAGCGGCGTCCCGGCACTAATATTCGAACTTTCAACGCATTAATCTCAAATTATTTTTCAAAACTGCGTACAATTTCATTTGAATACGGTTCTATTTAACGACTTCTACCTTTGACCATTCGAAAGAAAACCTTTTTTATTGAAGGAAGAACCTATAAAATCTACAAAATCTTTGTATTCATTATTTCTTCTGAAACCTTAAAGAGGTAAAAAGGGGGGAAAATTTTACCAGAAAGTTTGAAATCATACCATTTTGCCAAATTTGAAGTTATTGACCCGTTCTTAGGTCATTCCTCCAATAAATTTAGTTTACATTAAAGCCTCATTAATCGTTTTGTGTTTCAGATCGATCCTGAGGTACTAAATATGATGTATGCAGTTTGACAATTCAAGGCGTACACTACCTTACTCTAAACGTTACCTCGGGCGCCATTTTGTTTTGTCATTATCCTTGTATAAAATTGGCAATAAAGACGAAGTTCTAAGCTTTCCGAATTTCAAAACCACGTCCATCTATGTATTTCCATTGGCCCACTAAAAACTGTACGTACAGTGCTGTCATGCAGTTGTGTATGCCCGATTACTTTACCCCGGTAATCCAGCTCATTGAGTTCTACAATCACGCAGCAAGGTTATAAATCATCCGGTAACATGAAAGTAACACTGACGCAAAAAATTAGCTGAATTAAAGACAAATGTCAAATATCTGTATATACATTTACCCAATCAAAAAATCTGTATATCTGTATATACAGATTCTTGGCTTAAAAACTGCTAAAAAATCTGTATAAATACAGATTATTCTGTATTTTTGGCATCCCTGCTGCACAGAGCAATGGATTGAATAATGCAGTGCTTTCACACTCAGTCTAAGCAGTCATTAACTTTACGCTTTGCTTAGAAGAGTTCACCCAGAGTGAGAGAAAGAGGGTGTTATAGAAAACATGAACATATTTTTTCTTTCCTGTCTCGGTCTCTGTTTCGCAATCTAGTGCCAATCACCGACGGACATCGATTGCCATCCATTGACGGCAATCGAATGTGCAGGAAGGCAGCTTCCACACCTGCGTAGTTCGGATTTGGCAAACCAAAAGAATAAACGAACATTTTTACCTTTAAATATATGAAATGAACTACCAAAACAAATAAGGAGATTTTTGTGATATGATTTTTGACTGAAAGAAACGACTCAACTACACTGATCAACACCACCACCCACATTTTTGAGCTACACACTTTTAAATAACTGTTTTTACATGAGACGTAATCAATTTTTGACGAAAATCATGGAACGTTAACAAACATGATATGTACAATTAAGAGTTTTCAAACCGAAACATACGCAACCAAATGAAAAGTGCGTTTTATTGAATTGCATTTTTCATTTCTTTGAACTGATTCTTACGTCAAAAGAGCCGCTTGAATTATAGTAATTAAATTACTAGTCTTGCGGGTAGGGAATCTGGTTTACTGGCAACATTGATGTTTGCTTTGAAAATCTGGTACCCCATAAAAATGGTTAAGCCTTTGCAGAACGTTTTCGTTTAACGCAACAAAAACATGTTTTAATAAGCACAGTATGAAAATTAATGCTAGCGATTTTATAAGGAATATGAGGTTTTCCGAGTTAGGATGCCATACTTTCGGCGTGTTGTTCTATTGAGAGATTCATCATCGTGGGCAAGTTTGAAACTGGTCTGGTTGGTGAATAAGCTCGAGAACGTGCTGATAATGTGTTCTCGCAGAGTTTGGGTGGAGATTCGGTGGCCGACGTTGCCGTGAATCAGCAAGTTTTTCGCTTGCAAAAGTGCTCAGCAATGCAAGCAAATTTGTATTCGTTGATGGAAGTATTTTGACAAAGGTGCATCAGGTGCTGATAATTGAAATTGAAAATTAAAAATACGGAGCTCAAAGATTGGAGGACCAAATTAACATGGTGAGACCAGTCCAAATACTTTTACAATTTAAAAAAAAACATAAACTAAATACGTGCCAGGATTCAACAGAACATTTTGAAACTAGAAGTGTGTTTGTAATGGTAATATTCAATTGATAGAGGTAATACATACATGCGGGGCTTATTGTAAGTGATAGTAACTTCGGAATGGGCGTGACTCTCCAGACATTCTGAAAAGGGTTGCTGGATCTGTAATAGAGCTATCACTTTCTAACTCCCGGACTAAAGCTGTCTACAATGACCATAAATGCGACATTGTAGAGAGAGTTCTTCCATAATAACACTGCCGGTCAGTGTAGGGTTAGAGAGAATACACACACACACATACCTGCAATATATATGGTAAATTGCTATTCTATTTGTTAACAATCTTGTTTAAAAGTATATGTTCCCCGTAAAAAAAATATGCATTCAGGAAGGTATTGGCAAATGACCACCAAAAATTAATTCAATTGTTCGATTAAATTGTCTTAATGATCACAATACTCCCAACACGTTGAACCTATAAGAAACAGTCATGCTCGATTGGCTCCCGGAAATTACAGGTCAAATTGACTCCCGTCTGTGTCTCCACCAGATTATGAATATAGTGACTACCCATGGTACATTGCAAGTGTTATGGAGGTTTTAAAGCATTCTACAAGTCTAAATCATGGCCTACAGAACCCTTATAAAACCGAAATTGTTACTTGGGTATAGTTTGCATGTGTCGGTTTCAGGGGACCGAAAATTACTTGACTTTTTCAAACAGTACCAAAATCGTTGGGCCGTTGTAACGTCTCGTAGAATGTATACTTTTAAATAATACAACTTCATTAAGTTATATACATTAAACATTTTTTTGAACAAGACACTGTCATTTTTGAACTGAAACTGTTTTGACTGTCCTGATGAGCATAGAATATTACTGTGCTCACCTGAAAATATTTTAATGCAAACATTGTTCTTGAAGAACATATGAGAGTTTGCTCAATGTTCCAGTTGTTATGTAATACCCTTTGAAACTAATAATAATAAGAATACGTGTAATGGTAAGCGTAATTGCTTCTCACCCAAAAATGCCTGGGTTCAACCCCAGTTTGGCGCCGGCGGGATTTTCTGTGGCATAACATCTCTGATCACGCCTTCCTTCGGAAGGGAAGTAAATCCGTTGGTCCCCGGTTCATGAGTTGATGGGTCGATAGGTAGGGTCCAGGTGTAGGAGCTGCCTCTCTGGCGTCGGTAGCATTGGTGCTCAGCACGGAAAACAAGATTAACGGAAAACAAATCAAGAAAAAAAATAGTCACTAGTTCTTAAAAATAGTAAAAATTCGATACAACTGGCTTAATGTTCCAGTTGTTCCGTAATGCTGCCCTTTGAAAATAATAAATAAAATAATACTTATGACTTTTAAACTTCCTAGTCTATTCCATCCATTTTATTTTTATTCAATTCAAGTAGTCACTAGCTCTTAAAAATAGGACCAATTTCGTTTATGTCCATTGTGGGTTATGTGTATTGGAATTCACTAAATGTAGCATAAAAAGCTTTTTTGACATGCAGCTCTCTCATTTTTTTTTATTGATTTTCTGGAATGCTATGAATTTCTTTGAGTAACATTTATAACTTACGAGCTAATTATACCATTAATCATTATACCTTACAACATTGCCTTTGGTCCAAACCGATTTTCAAAGTGAATTCATGCAACAGTGGCATTTGGCGTTTATCAACCAATTGTCCACTTCATTCGTTTTCGTTGATCACAGGGCCATGTTCCGAAATGACCGTTTGTTTGCTATCCGTCGTACTGACATTGTCCCCAGCTTCCTTGATTCCAATCCATGGCAGCCGTCGCTCCAATTCCTGGCGGTATTTCGGATGACTGATGGCATAAACCCATGGGTCTAGACAGGATACGATTTTAGCACATACTGCTGGAATCATGGTGAAGAATGGTGTCAGCAAAGTTCGATCCCCAAAGGCACCGATCATCGTGACGATTGCATACGGTGTCCAAGCACAAACAAACAGGAAGAAAATAGTAAAGGCAGCCTTTGCGATTCGAATCTCTACAGACTGAGCTTTATCGTTTCGGTTCGCTGCCAAAGATTCTACGTTCATCTTACGAGCTTGTTTTTTGAGCATGATCTCGTGTTTACTCACGTGACCAAACAGACGTCCGTAGAAGTAGCATATCAAAATCATCGGGATTGCGTAGGCCCAAGCGAAGATACAACCTGTGAAAACCCGTGTATCGGAATCGTCGGTAAGGTAGTCAAACGAGCAGGTCGTTAGAAAACCTTCTGGAACATATCGACCCCAAATATTGAACGCTGGCAGCAACGTAAATGGCATTGCCCACAACCAGGTTATGAAGATAAGAATCGCTGCTTGCACTCTGTTCAATCGTCCATCTAGTGGATTTGAAATGGTGCGATAACGGTCATATGCTATGACTGCATTAGTGATAGCTCCACCTATGCCCGACAGACTTCCAAGAGAAGCGTAAATTATGCATCCCGTTTCATATCCAACCAACCGCCCAGAAAAGGAATTAACCAGAAACAATGGCATTTCACACATCATTAACAAATCAAAAATGGCAAGATTCACTACAAACATATTTGATCCGCTGCGTAGTGATTTAGAGCTGCAATAAAATAATTCCTTTAGTAATTTAAGAATATGGCTGCTATTTAACTACATATCAAATACTTACGTAGTGAATATCCACACAACAATTCCATTTCCAATGAGAGACACATTCATCAGTACGAAATAGATCATTGCCAGCAGTAGGTGCATGTAATATGGCGGTGCCGGGAAATCCTTCCAGTGCTCATGCACCAGGTGCTGCTGTTCCGGTGGAAGATTCCAACCCAGCAACTTGGGCATGTCACCAATCCTAGCCATCGGAAAAATAACCGCATTTGATTCGTTCAAAAGATACATTGTAAACGTTGGCAGGTTCAATTCAAACAAACAACTATTTCTTGGTATTCGAAAAATGCACACAATTTAATCAAGGAAACAATTTATTGCAACACCAAAAGATCACCGTTGCCAGAACTTCACAGCACAGCTAGGGAACTATTTGGACCGGTTTCGTAGGAAAGCGCTTCGCAAATGTTCGCTTGGTGGGTTCTTCCCACGCATTTTTATAGAGGAATGATCCATTGCAATTGGCCAATGGTTTGCGTGATTCTTGAAACCAGTAATTCAATTATTGTCAAGTACTGCGTTCGCTGTTCAAGTGCACACAATTTACAATTAGGTTATGATCCAGCGGTGATTTCTAAAACCTCTAATGCGAGAACAAATTAGCACGAAAGGTGCAAAGCAAATCCTTTTCGTTTGAACGCTGTGCACTACACTACAAGTAGCAGTCGGTAAATCAATCCGATTATCCTATTGCACTATGCTGAACAAAAAACGCATACGCAATGCAATTTAATGGCAAATATGTTATTTTTTTTTTTTTTTTATATTAATTTATTTGTACAGGCTCAATCGAATAAACTTTACAGAGCCGAGTTATCATTTTCATTATACATGATTATTGTCTTAAATCTAGAGTTAAAGGAATTGAACCGATTACTCGCGGTCGTCTCGAGGTTAGTGGAGATTTACAATTTTTTGGGTGGGGAAAGGGAGAAGGAGGTTTGAAATATGATTTATTATACAAATATTTAATTAATCCTAAAACATGAACTTATTTCTATTCATCTTGAAAACAAACATTAAAAAAAAAACTACACGCACAATACACAAACTAAACACAAGGTTAATCAAACTTACAATCTAAGGTTAGTATTCTTAAAGTAAACATATATGAGTTTCATAAACTCCAGGTCACGTCTAGCCAAAATATCCCGAACTGGAACATTAGGTTGTCTACCTCGAGCCCGAAGGGAATCGCACAGCTCAGATCTGACTCCACGATGCTCAGCACAAGACCAAAGGATGTGATCGGCGTCTTGGTAACCTTGCCCACATTCACAGAGATTGCTGTCTCCCAGCCCAACACGAAACAAGTGAGCGTTTAACGAATAGTGATTGGACATGAGGCGAGACATCAGACGAATGAAGTCTCGACCCACATCCAACCCCTTGAACCAAGGACTCTTCGACACCTTAGGGATGATCGAATATAGCCATCGTCCCAAACTCCCTTCACTCCACTTATTCTGCCAGCTGACGAGTGACTGTTGACGATAAATGAAGAAAAATTCATCGTAGGCGATTTGTCGATCGTAAATATCGCCTTCCATAGCGCCCACCTTAGCAAGTGAGTCAGCCATCTCATTGCCCGGAATCGAGCAATGAGATGGGACCCATGCAAAGGTGATGACAAAAGATCTTAAAGATAAAGCACTTAAAAGCTCTCGTATTTTCATGAGAAAATACGAGGAGTGCTTTACCGGCCTCATAGAGCGAATAGCCTCGACAGAACTGAGACTATCCGTAAAAATAAAATAATGATCTGGTGCAAGTGAGGCGATCGTTTCTAGCGTATAATATATTGCCGCCAGTTCAGCAACATATACGGAACAAGGAGCTTGAAGCATTCGAGAGGCGCTATGAAATTCGTTAAAAATACCAAAACCAGCGGACGACTCTATTAGTGATCCATCTGTGAAGAACGATCTTGCGGAATCAACTTGGCCAAACTTTGCAGCGTAAATTGACGGAACAATCATGGAACGATGATGTTCTGGGATTCCACGAATCTCCCGCGTCATAGATAAATCAAAACTAACTGAATTGCCGAAGTCGGAGAAGCATACACGATGGGGATTATGCTGTGAAGGGCTGACATCCTGAGTTATGTACACGTAGTACAATGACATAAAACGAGTTTGAGGGTTTAGCTCAAGAAGCTTTTCAAAGTTTTCGATTACCAGTGGGTTCATAACTTCGCAACGGGTGAGGAGCCTGAGGGACAATTCCGAAAACCGATCCGATAGTGGCAACATGCCCGCCAACACTTCGAGACTCATCGTATGAGTCGAGTGCATGCATCCTAACGCGATACGAAGACAACGATACTGGATACGTTCCAGTTTGATGATGTGAGTTTTAGCCGCCGACTGGAAGCAAAAACTACCGTACTCCAAAACCGATAAAATCGTTGTCCGGTACAACGTTAGAAGATCTTGCGGATGAGCTCCCCACCACGTTCCGGTAATTGTTCGGAGAAAATTGATCCTTTGTTGGCATTTTCGTCTCAGATACTCAATGTGGGATCTCCAGATGCATTTGGAATCGAACCAGACCCCAAGATATTTGAAAGACATGGACTGAGTGATCGGCTTACCCAAAAGTTGAAGCTTCGGTTGTGCTGGGCTATGCTTCCTAGAAAAAACGACCAACTCAGTTTTCTCCGAGGAGAATTCGATACCTAGCTCGATAGCCCAAGTAGACAAATTATCTAAGGTATCCTGTAAGGGTCCTTGCAGGTCGACCTCTTTGAGCCCTGTCATTGACACTACTCCGTCATCTGCAAGTTGTCTCAACGTGCAGTTGTCACTTAGACAATTGTCAATTTCTCTGACGTAGAAATTATACAAAAGGGGGCTTAAACATGAGCCCTGGGGGAGACCCATGTAACTAAATCGAGAAGCTGTAGAGTTTCCATGAGAAAAGCTCATATGTTTCTCTGACAGCAAATTGTACAAAAAGTTATTAATTAATGGGGAAAGGCCACAAGCGTGGAGTTTGTCTGAAAGGACTTCAACCGATACTGAATCAAAAGCCCCCTTAATATCCAAGAACACAGAAGCCATTTGCTCTTTTTTAGCAAAAGCCAACTGAATTTCAGTGGAAAGCAACGCGAGACAGTCGTTCGTTCCCTTGCCCCTACGGAGACCAAATTGAGTATCTGAGAGTAGGTGGTTCGTCTCAGCCCATTTGTCCAAGCGAAAAAGGATCATTTTCTCCAACAATTTTCGAATGCACGATAACATCGCGATGGGACGATACGAGTTATGATCTGACGCGGGTTTTCCAGGCTTTTTAATGGCTATAACTCTCACTCGCCTCCAATCATCTGGAACAATATTGAACTCCAGGAACTGACAAAACAAGTTCAACATGCGCCTCTTAGCGACGTCTGGGAGGTTCTTCAACAAGTCAAACTTGATCCTATCAGCCCCCGGAGCCGAATTGCGACACGAAAGGAGCGCGAGTGAGAGCTCCAGCATTGAAAAAGGCTGGCTGATCTCGTCTACCGAATTCGTCGTTTCGCGAGGAATCATCTGTGCCGGCACGGAATCAGGACATACTTTTCGCGCGAACTTGAGAATCCACCGATCCGAGTACTCCTCGCTCTCGTTGTTTGAAGACCGGTTACGCATCCTTCGCGCCGTGTTCCAAAGCGTATTCATCGACGTTTCGCGCGATAAACCGTCTACGAATTGCCGCCAGTATCCGCGTTTCTTGGCTTTGATGAGGCTCTTGAGTTCGTGTTCAAGAGTCGAGTACGCTTCAAAATACTCGGGTGTTCCGCGTTTCCGGAAAAGCTTAAACGCGTCGGACTTTTTACGATAAACCTCAGTGCATTGCTGGTCCCACCAAGGGGTAGGAGGTTTCCTACGAAAAGACGTTCCTGGAACCGGCCGAGTTTGAGCTCGAAGCGCGCTGTCCAAGATCAGATTGGAGAGGAAGTTATATTCCTCCAACGGTGGAAGCTCTTCTACCGACGACACGGCTTCATCTATCGCGGTCTTGAACGTTGTCCAATCGATATTACGGGTGAGGTCGTACGCGACGTTAACGGATTCCGACGGATTGAACCCACTGGCAATCGAAATTTTGATCGGCAAGTGATCACTACCGTGGGGATCCTGGATCACATTCCACGTGCAATCCAACGATAATGAATTAGAGCAAAGTGTGAGGTCTAATCTACTTCCATTTGAGGATGGACCAGCCAGACGTGTTACTTCTCCATTGTTAAGAATTGTCATATTGAAGTTATCACAGAGGTCATATATCAAAGTAGAACGGTTGTCATCATACAGTTCCCCCCAGCCTGTACCGTGGGAATTAAAATCTCCCATAATCAACCGTGGAGTAGGAAGAACTGAACAGATATCTGAAAGTTGTTTTTGACTAATCGAAACTCGGGGAGGAATATACACAGAAGCAATACAAAGGCTCTTGCCTTTAACAAAAGCCTGACATGCGACAACTTCAATACCTGGAAATTGTGGAAGATTCACTCTATAGAAGGAATGGCACTTTTTGATCCCCAAAAGTACTCCTCCTCCACGCGAATCCTCACGATCCAGTCGAATAATGTTAAAATCATGAAAAGGAAGATCGATATCTGAAGAGAGCCAAGTTTCACACAGAGCAAATGCATCACAATCATTATTGTGAACCAAAAACTTAAACGATTCTATCTTAGGAATAAGACTTCGACAATTCCACTGTAGAACAGTGATCAAATCCCCGACCTTGTTTGGAAAATTATCCATCGAAGGAGATGATTGCTGCAAGGAGGGGCCACTTCAATGTCAACTGCTTCAAGAGGGTTTTCACAGTAGGAAGCATTGCCAGAACAATGCTTTTCAGAGGATCAGAAATATCGAGGTAATTGAGGATACTGTCCACAATGTTATCAAATGAGAACAACCCAGATGAAGAAGGGGCTTGTGTTCTGAAAATTGGGGCATCGGGGGTTTTGGATGTCCCCGGGAGAGGTGGAAAATCCTGGGTATAATCAGTTCTGCGGAATCCAGGAGGAGTAGAAGTCTCCTTTTTTCCACCACTCCTTGATTTGGGCAAGCTGATTTGGGGTTCTTGATCTGCAACTTTCCGCGAACGGATGCGTTTTCGTTTCCGGGCAGAACCTTCCGGAAAACTGAAAGAAACTCCCTCCTCAGCCAAGTCAGAGCCAGACTCGTCATCTGACAAAAGAGCGAAGGGATTTGTTTCGTTGGTCGATGGCTTGGCTGTCTTAAGCATTTCTGCAAAAGACCGCCTGGAACGTTCTTTAAGAGAGCGCTCTAGTTTTTCCCCGCGTTGTTTATACACCGGACACGACGAGAGACCATGAGGAGGAGATCCTTTGCAGTACACGCATTTTGGTGCCGTGACTGTGCAGGCGC